ATTTAAAGACAAGAGCTTTCCTGAAACCAGTTTCTAGAAAAACTAGAACGCACAAAGAAACGGCCGTCTTTTCTGTGCACAGGTTCAAGCCCGCCTCAACCTAGTTATCAACTACCTGTGCAACTCCGCGAACGCAGACACTGTTTCAAGACACTACGCTTTTCTCAAACCCGTCTCTCGAAAGTTTCGAACGCACAAAAACATGGCCGTCTTTCTTGTGCACAGGTCCTTCCGACCATGCTCGACATGCCGCAAGAAGCCCGCCTCAACCTAGTTATCTACTACCTGCGCAACCGCGAGACCACTGAGGCGTTCAACCTGATCAAAGACCTAGAGCCGTCCACGCCTCCGGAGTACATTCTCAAGGGCATCGTGCACACGTGTTACGGGCAGATGACGGACCACAGCGAGCATCTGAAGATTGCTCAACAGTACTTTCAGCTGGTAAGAATTTTTCCGTTCTTTTGCGGAGTGTCACTTTCTCAAGGCTTGGGGTTTTTATTGTGCTGTCGCTAATGAAGATAAGACCTTTAGCAGTCGCAAAGGGCGTGGCGTCTTTTCGTGGGGCAAATAGCTGATTGCAGCAAGCACATGGAGGTCAACGAAAATCTGTGCATCTGGCAGAAAGGGGACGCCCGAGCCACGCTCTTGTGGAAGGGTCCCCGTGCAAGGTGCTTCCTAATGCTTCCAGCGAGAAAACGTTTTCAAATATGGAGGTTTGCAAGTGACCACGATAGAGGAGCTGACGTCACGCTCTCGTCAGGTGGGGGCGTCCGCGAGCGAGTGCGACACGATACCCGGGCGGCAGTGCATGGCCAGCTGCTTCTTCCTCCTCAAGCAGTTCGATGACGTCATCATCTACCTCAAGGTACGTCAGCACGTGTCTCCGTCAAAAGCTGATCGAAGTAGTCTGGGATGCCTCTGACGGAGAGCGCTTAGCGTTACAGTCGTGGTTGTTTGTCTGCTGCCGTGTTTTGGTTTCGATATGGCCTGCGAAGGATCTGAGCCATCAAAGTTTCGAGCTTTTTGGACAGTCGCCCGTATTTTTGGCTGCTTGACAGTGAAAGCGGTGGCGCTTGACGTCACGGTAATCTAGCTTTCTCAATCATTCATATCGCACCACTTGATCGCACCTGAGATTGCAAGAGCTTTTCATAAAATGACCTTTTAAGCAATGCAGTTTGGCATTCTTGAGACGCTTCGATACCGTGTCAAGGCAGCGAGGGCCGATCACAAAGGACCCCGAAAACGCTATTTTCGAGAATCAGACCAGATTTTCGGGGACTAATGCGTCGCTTCCGTCACAGCCCTGACAAAGCTAGTACTTGAACGACAACAACTTCGCCTGGAACTACGGCGTCGCAAAGCCGCAAACAGCGACCGCAAAGAAGCGGAAGAATTGCTCCTTCAGATGCATAAGAAGATGACCTCCTGATTCCCTCAAGTCTGATCATCTCTTCTTCGGTCTCTGCAGTCCATAGAAAGCTACTACCTCAATGATGGTATCTCGCCTGGAACTATGGCATTGAAAAAGCCGCGACGGGCGACCACAAATAAGCGGAGGAGTCGCTCCCCAAAATCCGGAGCGACCAATTACGTCGTACCTAACTTCCTTCAACTTAATTGCCCGAGAATATGGATTTCTTTTTATTGCTCTGCAGTCCATCAAGAGCTACTATTTAAACGATGCCGACTTCGCCTGGAACTACGGCATCGCAAAAGCCGCGACAGCGATCACAAGAAAGCGGACTCGAAAATAATAGAAACCCTTGAGTCCTGACTCCAAGAAAGGAGCTTCTTTTCGCTTTTTGCAGTCTTTCAAAAGCTACTACCTCAATGATAACGACTTCGCCTGGAACTAAGGTATTGCAAAAGCCGCAACCGGCGATCACAAAGAAGCGGAGGAGTCGCTTTTTCGAATCCTGAATGACCATTAGTAAGCCGGCCTTTCCAAATTCATCAGCAGAGACCAGCCCTCTTTCCTTCTCTGCAGTCCATAAAAGCTACTACCTCAATGATGACGACTTCGCCTGGAAATACGGCTTCACTAAAGCCGCGACGGGCGACCAAAGCGGAGCAAACTGACGATACCAGTCATTTCTGGATGTGAACTAGATTCTCGCAACCTGACGTTTTTTATACCCCTTGCAGTCCATCAAAAGCTACTACCTCAACGATGACGACTTCGCCTGGAACTACGGCGTCGCAAAGGCCGCAACCGGCGACCACAAAGAAGCGGAGGAGTCGTTCCTCCAGATCCGGAGCGACCAGTACCGAACGGAGCCTACTTACTTAGCGTGGCTCGCCCGGTGCTTCATCATGCTGAACAAGCCGGGGCTGGCCTGGGAGCAATACCTAAAGATGGACACTTCCGACGAATCGTTTAGGTGAGCGTTTGATGCTTTCAGAAAAAATAAGGGTGTTTGAATCAACAAAAGCTGAGATGGATTGTTGCGGGTTGAAAGCTATGCTGAATATGCTGGTCTGTTGTGAGAGCAGTATCTGAAAATGGACACTCAGGACGAGTCCTTCAGGTAAGGATCAATTTCGAGGACATCTGGCACTTGTTTGCTTTTGGCAGGGCTTTTATCCGTGGATGGAGATGGCTTGATCGCGCGATGCTTCAATATACTGAACAAGCCGGGACTGGCGTGGAAGTAGTACCTGAAACTGGATACCTCAGACAAGTCCTTCAGCTGAGAAATGAGTTGGAAAAGTTTGAGATTCTCATATCAAGAATCACTGATGAGAATTGGCATTGCCGCGGCGTTGAAAAACATGCTGAACTGGCCGGGACAGGCGTGGAAGCCATGTCTGAAATGGATACTCTAGACGAGTTGTTCAGGTGAGGACGGGATCGAAAACGTCAAAACTCAATCAGGAAAGTTTTGGAGAGTCAAGTTAAAGGCATCTGAGTTAGGCGGCGTCATAAAGGCCGGGACTAGCGTGGTTTGAAGTCTCATCACTTCGAACGAGTCGTTTATATTGGGAGTAGCCATTCCTTATCCGCTCTTCCAAGCTCCCCGCGTCTTACACGTCACAAAGTGCACGGAGTCTACTTACGGATTTTAATTTTGCAGCGCCTCCAGTCTTTTCGCCGGCTTTGTTCCACCTGGCTACACAGTAACTGAGTAACAACGTCTTTGATCTGAATCAGTGGATATTCGGAAAGACAGATTGGATAAGCAGCACTTCGGTCTTGACTTTGCAACTTGTCGTATCAGAGTCCTCGTCGCATGCAGCCTTCATCGAGTGATTGCTAACGACTGCTCTAAACAAGCCGACTTAGCGAAAGCGTTTGACGTTCTGAGGACGGCTCTATTTGCGTCTACCAGCTTCAATACGCATCTTAACTCCGTGGAGCGGCTTAACAAGCCCGTTTTGCTTTGCAGCCTTCTGCAGTTGACTGCTAATGACTGTTACAAGCTGCGCCAATTGCTATTAGCCGCAGAAGCCTTCGACGCCTAGAACGGCTACATTCCCGAAATCATCTGCCGATTTTTGATTTCCACATTGAACCACTCGGGACTCAAAACGGCAGACTAATGAGTTTCCATTTCCCCTCTGCAGCCTCCTCCACTTGATTGCCAATGACTGCTACAAGCTGGGCCAATTCCTGTACGCTGCAAAGGCCTTCGACGTCTTAGCCCGGGTAGATTCCAGAAAGTTTTTGCTGACTCTTCTCCACCTTCGGCCACTTGGTGAACCAGCAAACTAGTGGTTCCCGGTTCCTCTTCGCAGCCTCCTCCAGTTGATCGCCAACGACTGCTACAAGCTGGGCCAGTTCCTGTACGCCGCAAAAGCGTTCGACGTCTTAGAACGGCTCGATCCGAACCCGGAGTACTGGGAGGGCAAGCGCGGCGCGTGCATTGGACTCTTTCAAATGGTCATCGCTGGACGGGAATCCAAGGACCTTCTGCGGGACATCATTTCGATGCTGCGCAACACGAGCAATCCGCAGGTAAGGTTCCGTCCGCTTGTCCGGCTCGTTTTCCGCTGGAGTCGCTTTTACGTTCTGTTTAGATGGTCATCGCTGGTCGGTAATCGAAACACCTCTTGCGAGACATTCTTTCGATGCTGCGCAACACGACCAATCCGCAGTTCAGTGGCTCGTCAAGAAGTTCCGTCCATTCTTTCCGCCGGCACGGATGACAAGCTTCTTCCAAGGGTTTTAGCGTGAGGAGTATTTCAGGACTTTTTGCGTGAAACTTTAGACGCTTGACTTCGCCAGAAATCCGGGAAGCCGCTCCGTTCCGTCATCCGCTGCTACCCTTCTGGCGGAATGCTTTCGGGTGTAAATCAGATGGTCATAGCCGGACAGGAAACAAAGGACGTTTGGCAATTTTTATAATAGAAGCTGGCAGGTGGGCAGCTTCGAATGTAGGACTGTTGTCTCGGATCTTACGATTGGACGCGCGGCAGTTCGTTGCATTCTGTGAGCAGTCGGATTGTTGAGGGAGGTCCTGTTGCGCCGAGAAACACCAGGACACGTTTTGCAAACTCCGAGACAAGCTTCAAAGCAGCGCGATTGAGCCGGTACTATCACTGAAACAACAGGTCTCTGGCTTGCGTGTATTATCAAGCTGCCGGTGTCATCAGACATTCGACACCTCGAGAGTCACCTGGGTTGGGCCTAAAAGACGGTATGGCTTATCCGTGGCGAGATCAGATCACCGCGATTCCTGGTTGGATTGAGCTGATCCATGATCGACTTTTTGATGCGCAGGTCGAGTTCATCATCAAGGTGGTTCGGAAGTGGGCGAAAGAAAACGGCATCCGGAGTATATAATTCATCTGCGAATCGCACTACGCTCAATTCGCCCGATATCGTTACGATTGCACATGACAAGGGGTCCGGTTGCTTGCATGCTCGCAATTACGTCCGCGCCGGCCGGGCCAGTGTAATCCTGCTTGTTGGAGGTCGGAACTTCAAAGTCGTCCGTGCCGGAAGCAAAGCGCCGTTGCCAAGTTGTTGAAAATGAATCCTTTCTCTGTTCTTGTCTGCCGCGGCGACCGTAAGATCGTATAGTTAAGCTAGCTATACCGGATGTTGGACTAGTGCTTGAGTTGGCGGGCCATGCATGCGGCCGCCCCACACATATTGTATGCGAGCATGCAAGTCACTCAGTACGTAACTGACTCAGGTCTTTCTGCAACTTCCGGCCTCGTCTTTCAATGTGCTTCTGACAGGAAGCTCGTACTTCCACGGCGGTCATCGCGCAGTGCGGCAATCATTAGTGAGAGCGCTGCATACCGCACGCCCGGGGCAGCTTGCCAAGCAAGTTGCACCATGGCGAGCTCAATTCAGAGGCTGAACATTCTGATCATACAGTGCAGTGACTGTCCCAACGTATGTCACTCAGTGTGCATTTGCCGGGACCGGCCTCAATCGAGGTTAACAATCTTACGATTCGACATGTTCACTCAACCAAGCAATCGATCATCATGCTTTAGCATCAACGATCCGACCAAATCCAATTCAATCTAGCAAGTTTTGCAAAAGGACCGATCTCGCGCAGCGGTCGGGGGCCTTTCTGCGCCCGCGCCCGCGGCCGCGCGGGTATGGCGGCGCCATGCAGGACATGCCATACTAGTACTTCTCCATGCATGCATCTTGGCCGGGAGTGCCACCGTTGAAGCAGCGACTGGCTTAGGACGTACGGTTTCTTTTCTCAGTTCATAGAGCAAAGATGAGCTGATTGTTGATCGGCAATTTAGCAATCGTCCCCCGCCTGATTGACTACGGGGCCCGGCCAGCGGCCAAACTGCACTCATGAGCCCGGCCGGGCCGCGCCACGCAGCTGGTGCCTTAGTAGGCTAATGAATAAGATGCATCGATATCGATTCGAGTGTACGTACAGATTTCGACTATGCAATCCCTTGAGACGTACATGCTTGAATGATGATTTGATCGGCTGCCCCGGATAGACATGCAGTCACCGGGAGCCAAGACCACTTTCTTTGGATCCCTGCAGTGTTCCTCATGTTGCGAGATTTCAAGCTGGGCCCGCTAGCTACTGGTTGACATTATTGCATCATGGTCCACTGGCGCTGCATGATTGTTGGACTGACATTTGTTGGTCCCCCCGGGAGGTCCAGCCCGGCTGACGGTCGATCAGTCGGAGCTCAGAGTAAGAACTGAAGACAAAGACGTTGACGACGCTGGAAAATGAGGCCTCCAACTGAGTTTTAGAAGGCAGAAAGTCGTCTGTACGAGCCACCTTAGATGTCAGTCAAGGTTAGTCGGAAACGTTATAACGTACGCGTGCGTGATACGCCTGGAATCCCTCCTACAAAGATCAGCTAGTAACCTGCATCGTCTTCAACCCGGTGACGTACCTAACGATTGCCGTACTAACGTCGAGTTTATCCGCTGCAACGCCCGCGGTATGGGCCGTTCCGGCGCGCTCTGAATCAGCTCCGCCATCGACGGCCAGTTTTGAATCTTCGCTAAGAACAACCCGGGCTCGGAAAAGGTCCGGAAACACGACTCGAACACGAAGAACTGCACCGCACTGCCCGGTATAGCCCTCGCTAAGCAGAGCGAGAGTCCCCGGTACAACTCGAAGAAAGTGCACTCTTGCTGGGTGACCTTCCACACGCAGTGGGCGGAGCTGCGGTACTTGGGGTTGTGGAGAGAGTCCGTTTGGAGGCGCGTCTTGATCGTGTCCAGCGGAAAGTTGACCTGCGGAATGGACGAAGGATTCTTCATTGATTGCCAGTAGCACGAAATGTTTGCGGTCAAAGAGCAAGGAACGAAGGAACAGAGATTAAGATGGAGCGCGTATACTGATCATGTGAAGGGTGGAGGGAGTCGCAGAGAGTGAACGGCAGATTCATCGGTCGCAAATGAGATTTCTACATTCTTACCAAAGGAGCGAGCGTTAGACTGAACCGATTGTCGCCGTACTCTTCAATGAGAAGCTCCGAAAAGACGAAGCAGAGCGACGAGGACAATTTTGTGGCATCATCCGCAGCGACCCCCGAAACATGCTTTAAAAACATCGACCCTCGCTGATTTTCCGTTTGGACGTGCGCAAGTCGTACGGCTTTGAAAATTGTCACGGCTTGCTGAAGGGCCCGCATTTTATTGACTGTATGATGACGAATCTGATTAAGATCAGCGAAAAACCCGCCACGTGGATTGATACTAGCTTAACGTATGAAGGGAGAAAAAGGGACAAAGAATCTCAAAAGCTTCACTGCAGATTCCTATATCATCAACCATCACCGTTAGGCTTCCCGCCGGCCGAATGAGAAGCCAGTGTTATCCCGCTTCAATTCTCTCAACACTGAAAACGAAGACCCAGTAATTCCAGCTAGGCTTCCCGCCAGCTAGTTCGTCCCCTTTTCTCTCGGTTGACTAGCCCCGGTATAAGAAGGAAAGCTAAAATGAAATAACGAGTTGCTGACCAGATAGTACGCCATTCCCGCTAGACTTCCCGCAGGCCAGATCGCCAGCCAGCTTTGTCCCGTGGGATGCCCGTGCCCCGGCCCGTTCGGATCGGCGCCTCCGCAGATGGACAGCACGAGATCGTACGTGCAGAAAAGCGCCACGTTGCCCAACATTTCTTTCGCCACCTGGACACATGTGAAGCGCAGACGGACCGGTCAGTCAATTGAAGGAGCTTGGTGCGGAAGGGCCTCTGGTTTTGTCAGCTTGTCGAGACGCGAGCAGGGAATCATCCCTAAGGAAGCTGGAGGGCTGGGCAAGTATCTCCGGCGGATAAGGCGGGTAGTGTCACCGAAAAAAGGCTGCAAATGATTCTGAAGGTTGGCGCAGCTTCTTTACAGCCTTTCCTTCCAAGCCAAACGAACGCCTTGCTTACATATCCACGTGAGCCTTCACCCGCATAGGTCGGTGTCTGAAAGTTGACACATAGAGAAATCCAAACGCGACCTGGAAAGATCGACGAGGGAGTCCGTGCTTTGCCGTCAGGATGCCTCAAACTCAGGTCGAGAGCTCCGACCAAACAGATTGCCGATACGAGAAACGTCAAAGCGGGGCTTACATAAAAAGCGCCAAGCGACGAACACGTTCAAACCCACCCAAACAGAGGCCTTATTCTTCTTCGGAAGCCACATTTTATCACTGTCCAAACAACCTGACTTCAACGTGGAACTACCCGCCCTTGCAATCCACTCGAGTCCATAACGCCACCTATAGTCTGAACTTAACAGCTCCCAAAAATCTCCAAAACGGCTGACCTGAATTGGGTATCCTGAATAGAGCCCCCGCCAGCCCCGCGCCTTGATCACTTCCTGAGCGCACCGAATCATTCCGGCGGGGTCCGGTTCCGCGTGGGAGTGCTTCCGGTGGGCGCCCGGAATCTTGGGCGGCTTCGGACTCGGGCTGCCAAGGCGTCCGACGTGGCTGTCGTCTGAACTCAAAGCGCTCTTTACCTGTGATCAGTACACATTCTGTGGAGATCAGACAATTTGCCCCTTATTACGACGTCTAGCTTTTCAGATTCTGGAATCTTCACAAGCCGAAAGCAGAACTTCAGCTCCCTTGCCTGCCCTCAATTCTAGAAGCTCAAAAGTTTCCATGTTCCTATTCAAATTTAGTAAAGCGTCATGTCACCCGCACGCGTGCCTGCAGCAGCTAGATTGTGAGGGCATCAGAGAACAGTCTCCTCGAGCCCGGCGATGCAGCACGGAAAACCAGAGCGGCGTGGTAATGAAAGCACTCGTTCCATTGAATAGTGAAGCAACAAAACCCTGAAATGTTCGCGTCTTTCAGTGCCTTTAGAAAGTCGAGCGAGCGAAAGACCACGCTTTCCGCCAAGCCAACGATGGCTTGACAACCAGAGGGAGCGCCTTTGACCCGTGGAGCAAATGGAAGCTCTCACGGGCATCGTTATCCAGAGTCGACGAGCAATTGAGCTCGGAAGAAGGAAAGGGGTATGTCCTTACTTGCATACGGGCTTTCAGCAGGTCGAGCGGGCAGTAGAGCACGCTCTCCGCGAGCCCGATGATGCAGCACGAGAAAACTAGAGCGGGCGGATTGGCGAGCGAGGCGTCCAGGTGCTCCCGCAGCCAGTCGCGTGCGCCGAACAGGAGGGCCACACCGAACGCCTCCTGGGGAACGAATTGTTGCTGACGTCAGCAATAGTACCGACCCTTCGCTGACGTCAGCGTGAGTATTCATGGACAATTGTCCAGGGCTGGACGCTCAGGAGGATCATGGAAACGACTGTTTAGCTGCAAAGGGCCGAGGCGTTTAGGATAAGCTTGACCAAAGGGGTGTGCGACCACGACCACTTTGTTAAGCGGAAAGATGAATGTTTTACACGTCGGTATCTTTCCCTTGGCGTAGATAGGGCCAATTTCACGGCTCCCCACAACGCCAAGACGCAAGTTCCGTGATTTCGAATTCAATTGATGTTCAATTTTGCAAAGGCCTTTCGGAATTCTGAAACGAGCTGCAGCCAGCCAGTTCGATGCTTTGGCTGACATGGGATGCCTCTCCGCAGACCATTGCCCAATTGAAGCCGAATCGGAGTCGTCCGCTCTCGAAATTGGAGGACAAGGTCTCGCATGTTTCACAACCGGTCCTCAAGATCAGAAAGTGGTCCAAAGGAATCGGCTCATTCCGAGGAACAGGTTTGAGCTTTCCAAGAGTCCTTTTCGAAAATTCCTGCCCTGACTTTGTTTGCAACTTGTCCAGAAACGCGAGTTGCTCCGTTTTGACTGATCCAAAGCCTGTCTAGCCAGGAGCTAAGGGCGGCCTGATTCTAGCAAAGTCTGCCCGTTACTAGCTGTGGAATCCAGATCGATCACGGAAAACAAACCGTCAGATGTTTGTTACGTGGTTGACACACGTACCTGAACCAACGGCGGCACGATGCCCCTGTAGAACCCAGATACCCCCTCCATTCGTAATGTGGTGATTATACAGTGCCAGGGGCCTCTGTAGGAGGGCCCCCCGTCCCCACCTTTTGGCGAGACTTGCATCCTGGTCTTGATGGTGTCAAACGGGAAACCTGCACAAGGTACTCATACTTTGCTATGGCTGATGAATGCGACCGAGACAATAAATGTTGAGTTGCCCACTCGTGGTTCAACAAGTAGAGCATCAGTGATTTCCGAGGCCAATTTGATGATGAAGAAGAGAGGCCGAGGCAGGGAAAGAAGGCCGCGCTCAATGAGCGCAAATCCCGTGCCGCCTGCGTTTTGGTTTGGTTCTTCGTTGGGCAGCCTCATGGTCAAACGCTGTTCTGCCATCTGAGAAAAGTGCATCAAGTTTGACAAACTGTGCCACACCAGGAACACTGTTTGCTTGCGCTTTTCAGATCTGATGGGACCTACATTTGCAAGGAGGCAGCTGATGACTGTTTGGCATCAGCTGCTGAGCATGCATTGTTCTTTCTTCAGAAAGACAATCCGCCTCTGCAAGTCCTTCTGAGACTCAGCTGAATGGAAAGCTGTTGACAGATGTCCACTCCAAAGTTCGATAAGGAACAGCTGGTTACATTGACCAACTGACCAACTTGATACAACAGGTCCTCCAATGACAAATGGGGTGTGGTAACAGTCGCTTCCAAAACACTCAGCAAAGGAGAGTATTAGAGCTGCCAATAAATGCTGTGCAAGCCAAGCTCTGGTTCTTTACGACGGGCTTCTGTTCAGGTCTGCTCTCTTTTGAGCAACTCGCATTGAAAAAGTACAAAGGGTTTTCTGCCAACTTGAGCCTCTCTTGACTTCCACATTCCCATTGGATCACACAAACGCTGGAGCTCTGCTTCTTAGATAGCACAGTCAAATCTGAAGATCTGGCTGCCACCTTTGCATCGTTTAGCCAGATGCCTTAATTGTGAATGTCATGAACCATCTGGCGTCAGCTCTGCTTCAAATCCAGGATTTGGAGCATTCTGAAGCACACCTGGAACTCAGCGAGCTGGCTTTGAAGGTGCAAATGCAAGGGTGTCTATGTGAAGCCAAGCTGCCAAGAAACCGTTCGCAGCTCCGGAAGGGCTAACTGCAAGCTGATTCGCTCCAGTGAGCTGCCAAACAATGCCCTTAAGCCGGAAGTTGCATCATCCAATTGATTCAGCCTAAGCTGTTAATGTAGGAAAGCTGTGGGTTTACTGACCAACAATGACCTCGCAAATCCCAGCCATGAACCCAGCCAGCAGGCTGATCCATGCGTACTCGTCCATTTCACACTGGTGCTTGCCTCCCCTTGCCGGTGCTGTGTGAAGATCCTGTCTCGTGTCTAATCACGACGAACGCTTATGTTGGGAAGTGGATTCTAGGGCAGAAAGGAGAGTTGCAGCTACGCAAGCAACAAGACCTGTGCGCTACGTGAACACGGCAAGGCAAACCATGCATCGTGACTACAAGCTAGCAGACCCTTCCTATCTGACAAGGGTCATCTCTTGACTGCCACCGGTAGCAGGCATTGATTCATTCATTGCCCTGGCCATGGCCTAGCTCGATAGGACTGGGAGTCCAGGCAGCAACGCAAGAGATGCATTAAAGAGATGCTTTAATGCATCTCTTGCATTTCTCATCTCTATATTCAGCAGCATTCTCAGAGTCAGAGCTCTGCTCATTTTTCGAGGAGCTCTTTCTAGCTACATTTTAGGGTTTGCCAGCATTTTATTTTCGTCGGACGTCCGACCTTGATGGGGTACGTATTATATTGACAATATTTGGGTGGCCGCGGCCGCCGTCTACGGTCCGCCTTCCAAACCCAGAAACAGGCTGGCTCGTGGCGAAGCGCTCGAGCGCGACCGGACACAGCGGCCGGGCGCGCTAGTCGGTACGCGGGCGCGCAATGCGGCATTGAATGCCTTGTAAATCATGGCCGCCGGTCTCATTCTCAAAGGAACCCTCAAAAGAAAGGAAAGAGCGCAGAAGGAGCACCAGAACTTGCAGCTGGCGGTGTTCGGTTGTTGCACAACCAGTATATTCCTGGAGCCAGTGAGAAGTGGAACTGCTTCAGTGGCCTGAAATCGCAGCTGATTTCCTGCTTAGAGATGGCGGCAGGAGCACGGCCCTGCGACTTTGCTACACTTACGGAAGCCGCAGCTTCACAAAGAGCACTTGGAACAGGCGTCAAACCTGCCGGCTGTCAGCTGCGACGGAGCCTGATCCCATTGGGCCTAAAACATGGAAAATCAAAGAGAGTAAGATGCGCGAAACTCCATAGCTTTCGTAAATCTCAAGAGAGCTGTGTATACTCTTATCTGCATCTATCTAGCTGGTGGTATCCAGATGCACTGATGCACGTTGGTCCAGATTGCACTTTTGAAGCCAGCTTCAAACGAGCTTCAAACACTGGTATTCTTTTGAGAATTTGAGAATTAGGAAGGCATATTGGTGGCAGACTGAGACACAGCTTCGTCAAGGATTGCAATTGACCTGTCAACTTGAAGGCGACAACTCTGGGGCACCAAAACTTGCTTGGTTTGAGAAGTTAGCCAGACTGAGTTACTTGTTGACTTTTGATTGAGTGATACCTCCCAAAATCTCCACAAAAGTTGCCACCACTCAGTTGCTTGGAAAAAGCTGTGCTTAACCTTACTTTGGCCTAGACGATGAGTGGGTGGTATGCAAAGGTTAGGAGAAGCTATAAGAAGCTCAACCATATGCAAGGCAAGCTGTGACCACTTCAAGCTCCAACATGACAATGAACTGATTTTGTTCAAAACATCATCATCCTTATGATCCAAACCTCTTCAGACGCAAAGGACTGGAGGCTCAGTCAAGAATAGCCACTTGCCGCTGAAGAACAGCCCTGACTGCCCTGACACTTTTCTTGCGTTGGCAGGTGCTCTACACGCGACAGCTCCTCAGCCGAACGGACACGTCTTTGGTACTTTGCAAGGCAAGCTGCTGCACGACTGTCCCCTTCAGGATTAGAGCAGTCAGGCCGGCGAACTTGCATGAAGAACAGATCAAAGTCCCAGCTTGGTACGATCCACTCATCAAGCTAGATGTGGACCGCAGTGCTCTCAACGACTGGATACTCAACGCAGGGGTCTACAACTCGTACCACAAAAAGTATGACGCGCGCTGGCAGCCAGTGACGCTGATGTTTCATCCGGACGTTACGGTCAACGGCCAAGACGTGGGAGGAACAACAAGTAACACGGAGGGCTGCATCATTTACGTCCCTAGATTCAAGGCTTATAAAGAAGACGCAATCATTGAGGGCCGGCTGATCATGAATCAGGGGTTTTCCCTAGCGTCCAACCTCCGCAACCTTCTTTCCCCCAAAGGTTTGCAGTCTGCGGACCTGCTGATATCGACGAAAGACGGCAGACCGGTTCCCTGTCACAAGATGCTGCTACATATGCGGAGAGAAACTCTGTGGCCAAACGTGTTCAGCGTGCCGTTGACGAGGAGTGAGGATGGGTCTAAGTTCGAGGTAACCTTGCTGCAAGAGTTCTCCTTTGCTGCCGTCAAGCGCTACATCAAGATCGTGTACACGGGGGAAATCAGCCCGAGCATGGGAGACTTGGACTGGGCCAACCCTGACGTCGAAGAACTGGCGCATATTGCAACCAAGCTGGGAGAGAGGGACCTCTTGAAGATTCTGTGCAACATTCACGCGTTCGAAACAGCCGACGCGCTGCCAGCGGAAGAGTTTCCTGGAGTGGTACGCACCGGAGAGGAGCAGTACTGGGAAGCCAAGAAACGAGAAGCGGAGGAGAAGCTAAAGAAGATACATGCCGGCTGGTGGGGATTCTAAGGGAGCTACAACCATTTTTCCGGATGGTGGTGCACATACTGTAGTACGCTTCTAGCAAGATTTTGAAAGTTCCCCTTGCATCAGGCCTGCCGTCTATGTACTCGATCCGTTCTTACAGACTCGACACTCTCTGGTTGAGGATGACAAGTAAAGGGACTTGCTTAAGTTTGTACAATCTCTTTTGTTACGTCGCTCGTAAGAAAAGCCCGCCAGGGAAGTCACGGAAGTGCAGCTCATGTTGCACTGACAGACCGGCACGGATTAAGATTTCCCTTGAAACAACGACTAGATGTTCCGTTTAGACGTTTAGTTGTCCTCACTCAGTTCCGTGATTTCCTGATGGAAATTTCAGCTATATGGTGTCAACCGAAGAGTTGTTTCGTCTATGATGCAATCGTAAGAGATGCTACAAGCCTTTGTATAAACCAGCATTAGTTGGATTTTTTCTCAAGTCGGGGAGATTCATTACTCTAGAAGTGGAACTTTTGGATGCTAGTCGAGTATGATGTATGCAATGCTTCGAATTCATAAGTCACGGGATTCGGATCCATCGGAAGGCCGGGCTTCATTTGAGTATTCACTCAAGCCGGCATATCATTCAACATGAAGGTGACTGGACAACCTCGTAGAAGTTCTCGGTTGACCAGACGACTCGTCGGACATGGCACTAGCGCCTAATTCCACGAGTTCTTTCGTCACACGCAAGAGCTATACAAGTTGGACCGCCGGACACCGAGCTCGGTATCCATTTGCTGCATCAATGCGTCCGCTCCCAACTTTGTGTGTTGGTCGTATATACGCTATATCAACAACCCAGCTTCGACAGAGCTAACAGTGATGCGCCGTACAACGGAACTCTTACAAATGCCATATATTCTCGAGCAAGCACCTGAGATTTGTGACGCCACTCTTCAGATGACACGAACTTGCATGCGAAGCCTCCCGGTCACGACTTGGACCTTGTACGTCTGTTTCTGTGTGAACGTGCTTTCAAAACCAGCCGGCCAGCCAGCAGGGCCTCTTATCTTTTTATCTTTATAAAGTGGCCTAGGAGCCTTCAAAGATTCAAGATTCAACCAGCAATGTTGCAAAGTGCCGTTGAAATAGCGGCGACAAGCAGGTTGTTGGGGGCCAAGTATCCCCATGGATTGAAACCTGACAAACACTGTCTTCGAATCTAGTACTGAAATCAGCTCGTGCCTACGTCGTTCCAGCTGATCCTGCTTGACATGGTCAGAAGAGCCCTGCACTCAGAGATGAAGGATGATGCATGATGCTTACCGGCCCGCCTGTGACGACTGTTATTGTTGACTGCCTGCAAGATTTGCCACCGAATTTCAGCGCGCGGCGCCGGCCGCGACAGCCCCGCGCCCCGCGTCCGTACGAAGGTTTGGACATATGCGGACGCGGCACGCGCCCTGACGCGTCCGAGGCGCAAACCTTCAAACCCTTCGCGCGCTTCGCGGCCCTTGCTGGAAGCGTAGGACAGTGGCGCGTGCGCGCGAGAAGGATTGGCGCCCGCGGTGACGGAGGACGACTGCAAATCAAGGAGGTACTGCATGGTAAGTGGGAGCGCCTGGCGCCTAGGAAAAGGACTCGACTCTAGTCCAGATAAGCTCTGGAGCTCCTGAAGTGGACTGCAAACGACACAGCCTTACAGGCTGTGCACCAAATTCTTCCAAAGGTGAGAGTAAAGCAACATATCATTCAACGTCAGGATCAGTTTTTGTACAGTGTTGATCGCTCCCTATCCTTGCGTGTTCAAGATCCTGCTTGAAGTGTCACCAAAGAACCTTGTACTAGATTTGATCCCAGATTTCAGATGTGCGAAACACCACGTGTTTCTTGCCGTTTTGACAAACTTTGCTCTTATCTGATCTTCCAGCAATGCGCTGAGACGAGGAGAGAAGCCCTCAGATCCCTAATGATAATATGGGAGGCCTAGGACCAGGTGTTGAGGCACTTTCAATGGCATGTTCCGCCGGGTATGGCAGACTGTGCGCACGTGAGGATTAGCATCCGTCACTGCATCGTGACGCCACCCTCCCTTGAGTAGTGCAATTGTGGGTTGGCTGTACAGAATGACCGGACAGCACAATGAAAGATGGCCAGGCAGCCCCTTATTAGTGTCCTCTTCATACGTATACTACCGATGCGTGATGGCATCAAAGAAGTGCTTCAGCTGAATGATATATTCACTTTCGGAAAAAAAGGGGTTTACAAAAGAAGCGGATTTCTGGAACTTCTCCTGTCTGTCACCCCCAACAACGAGATTCGAAAGCAATTCAGATTCATTGATCTTGTGATCACAATGGTGCGTCTTTGTCATTGTCCTCTCTATGGCAGACGTGCGCCAGTTGATCTGGCGCCTTGACGCCCCTGATTCCCTCTTACCTTCTGCAGTTTTCCACGATGGACGAGAAGAAAGTCAAATCAAGTGCCGAGCTTGAAGACCAAGGCATCATATGTAGCGAGCAGATCCTGGTGCCCGTTATCACCAGTCTTGGCCACAAGGACGCGCGCGCGCTCGCGCGCGCTTGCTGCCTGTGCCGCGCGTTCAACGCCGCGGGCTCCGCTGGCCCCCTCTGGAAGGAGATCTGCCGGGCGCGCTGGCCGGATATTCCGCTAGAGGGGCTCGCAACTCTTGTAACCTTTGTGGGGGGATTCAAAAAGCTGTACGCAGTGCCCCGGTACTTGGAAGTCGTGAGCTTCAAATGCACGAAGGAGGTGCAAGCGATTCTTCCGGGAAGGGGCGCCGGGTTGGGAATTTTCATCAAGCGGGTTCCGTTCCTTTTGTCGCTCAATAAGCTGTCCCCGGGCCTGATCCTCGCTCCGGCTGCAAAACCGTTTGACGTGGCAGAGTTTGGTTGGGGCGTGGTATCTGAAGATCAGGTTCAAAAGAATGCGGCCAAGCCGGGGGTAGGGAAGGAGCTGTACCCGTTTCATATGCGAGAGTTTATAGAAGGGTTTGGAACCGTTTGGGACCTGAACATGGAGGTCAAGCGGTCCGTACTGTCCGGATACGAGATCACGCGTGGGGTGACCTCGCACTTCGACAGAGCAACAAAACACAGCTCAGAGGTCCCGTTCAAGCTGCCAGGTTGTGAGATCCACCGCAAACCAAAGCGGCGCCAAGGATTTGCCGGCGAAGAGGCGGAGCTGTATGTTTTTCCGATTGAAAAGTAGCGTGCCCTTGTTCCTCTAAAATGTGAAGACGATCTCAAGTTTTTGCTGTTACCTCGTTGAAAACATTATGCTTTTGCTAGCTAGTACGATACGACGAACTGGTGAGAGAGGATCTTACAGCAATAGTCACTGGTGCTAGAGGCATTCATTTTCAGAAACCTCCTTCACTTCGTCTTGTATTCTCAACAAGCTGATCCGACCCGGCCATATGCAATGCTTTCGCTCGTTGTTAAGTCTGGCAAGCTGCCGATCATTGAAAACTTCACTGAAATGAACTGGATTGACGTTATACACGCAGACGTGAGAGGTGCGATCGCAAAAGCCCGTTCAGCATGCAGGCCAAAAGCCCTGTCAGGTTCATGCACGTACTGAGACGGGCGTATTTATTATCAGCGTTCCCGGTTGGTCAAGGAGACGACAATCTTGATCTGGACTAAAAACGGCCACAAAGTCAAAGTAACCCGTATGGTCAAAAACATCATCGTTGAACGCTGCCAATGTATGTGGATTGAATATCTGTGGTGTTTATGCAAGTGGTTTCCAGGGCCGCCGCAGTTCAACCATGAACCTGAGCGCTGCCTCATGAGCTCATTGAGAATGTCATTTTTGGTGCACTTTATGATCCGGATTGATCATTTACTCTTCAAACGCATCGGTCTGTGCGCGCGTCCGCTTGAAACCTGGGCGGTCCGGCTCGGCCGTGCTGGATGGATCCTTCTGGTTCAGAGCCACTAGATATTACCAGCTCGATCAGATTTTGCTGTCACGCGCCGAGCCATGAGCGATTTGTGGCAGCGCTATTTGGCAAGTCTTTAGTTCTTGCAAACGCCTGCACAATCAAACTTGGCTCGGACGCGCCTACAGTTCTATCAAATCATATGACATGATCAACTTTACATTCGAGCATAAAGGAAACCTACTGAAATTCAACCGCCAAATCACCGCGAATGGTTGCCGGGCCTGACTAGCTCGACGGTCAGACGTACTTGGATATAATCTTACAATTGAAACACTCAGAATGGACGCCGACGTTGATCAAGCAAGCTTCCGTCTGGCAATAGTGGGGCAATAGCGCCCTAAACCGATAAAGCATGTACGTAACAAAGTTGGAACCTGCTTCTTCGCAACCAGAGGCTGCCAGGCGCGCCCCGCCTGCGCTATATGGTTCTTATCTGCATTTAACTTCACGGTGACGCGCGCACGCGGTCGACCAGAGGGCGGTCACGTTGACCATGGCGCCCGGCCGGCCTTCCACATCCTCACTGTACGTACGTCCGTACGTATCTAAAATTACCGTGCGGGTTTTCCCGGGTGGGCCCAGGAGCACTCATCATTGCATGCACAGATTTCAATAGCAATCCTTATGGGCGGCCAGCCATATTCGGCCAAAGCCTGCTTATAAGGAGTATATCATTCAATGGTTGTCTCCCGAAGGACGCCGGGGTATATCATAATTAGCGCCGCCCGCCTTGCATGGCCCGCGAGGGCCGTGCTGCTGCCACTGACATGCCAACGTGCATATTGAGGACGATGAAGGTCCGCTAACATGATCGATTCGACCCGTCCGACCGACATGACTGTGTTAGTAAAACTAGACGAGTCCCCACGGCGCGGCCTCTTAGTAGTGCATGCATGTATTGGAGGCGAGACTCTGAGATCGTGCTTAGGATCCGTGCCAGTTCACACAACGAATCTCGCCGGCTTGTCATTGACTGCATGATCCTTCTTCTGCCTAAGCGAGCCTCAATCTTGAATATTCTAAACTATATTGGTGCGTTCATACAGCTTTCACGTGTTACTCATTGCCCGCGGCATGGTCCGCAAAAGGTCCGGAATGTTTGTCAGGAACGTTGTAAAAGTCTCGCAGGTACTTGAGTGCTTCTTCATTTGTACTACACACCTTCCACAACGAATCAACTTCTCCCTCTCTCACCGACCCGTACTCTATACAGCTTTTCAGAAACTCCATTAGGCCGTCAAAAACGTTATCGTAGTTCATGACCAGAAACGGAACCGGGTGTACTGACCCAAGCCTTTCTAACTGGATGAGGGCAAGAATCTCGAACATCTCGTCGAGAGTACCTACTCCTCCGGGCAAAGCAACGAAGGCCGTCCGATCGGACTCGCAAAGACGGACCCCTGCATCGACGAGTCCGTGCTTCCGAGCAGAGAAGAATCTGCGGATACGGAGAGTAAGTCACAAATTTGAAAAACCTTTGCACAGGTCCGTGTTCTGGCTTCAAAGGAAATTTCCTTTGCCGCTCTTTTTGCTGAATGTCTGTCCTCAAATCCGTTCCGCCATTTTCCCTACGTTCCAGTGGCCCAGAAAATGCAGATTGGACGAATGCGTTGTCTCGTTCCAAGTAAGGTCGCCTTCTGAACGAAGTTAAGGCCTGCCTGGCCAAAGAAACAACCGCGGATCGGAGGAACACGCTGCAAACGCAACGAAGCGGAGAGAAACTAACGTATATCCCAGCCAATCAGGAGTCCATGTCAGCAGCTACGAACCAGCAGCCCTTAACCCACCTTCCCAGACTTGAGCTCATCGCCCGAGCTCGACCAAGTTTTTTAAGGGCAGCTCGGTAACTTAGACTGCTAATCCGTCAAAGAACATCAGCTCTGTGAAGCAACTTGGAGCGGTCAGGCGCTCGGTCTGTTACAAATCTGAGCAGCAAGACCAACAGACGAAGCCGAACGAGCGCCACATTCGACACGGTAAGTCCAAAGAGCCGGACTTTTTTGGGTTCTTCTTGAGGTTGGGTTACAAGTATAGGCCCCGCCTTGCGATTCCGCACACTGGTTCAAATAGCAGCGCAGGAGTGCACTCAGACCCGTGTAGATACGTTCACTTACAGCACAAGGATATCCTACGACACATGCATATGCACAGTAGCGCCTTTGTCATTGCGCGCTTGCAACTTTCAGATTGCTTGCGCTCCAGAACAAAACGACGAACCGAACCCAGCCCTGAATCTGATTTACCCACCTGCAAACGATGTAGTTCTCCTTCGGTAGATACGGATGCACGTAGGAACCCTGCGACTGCCATTGCCCGCTCTCCCGGAAGATCTTGAAACCGCCGACGGGTTTCCCAGTGGGAAGCGCGCCCTTCGCCGCCGCGTCCATCAGCCCGGGTCCGATGCCGGTCCACGTGGTGCAGTCCAACAACTCTGCGATCTGAGAAAGAAAAAGCAATTCAAACGGTCAATTCATTTTCTGATCTTCAAAGTGAGAGGCTGGTGTATGGCTGGCTGATTGCTGGGTGTTTGCAACGCTTTTGAGAGTCTTTTGCGGCAGCGGCAATCAGCCCTGGTCCGGTACCGGTCCAGGTAGTACAGTTTAGCAACCTGCAGTCTGAAAGAAAACGAGCAACACCGTCAGCTATCTCCTAGTGGTCCAAGCGTGCGAGAAGGCTGGCTTATGACAGGCTGATTGCTGCGCTCTTGCGACGTCTGAGGTGTTCGCAGCTGTGTCCATCAGCCCTGGTCCGATTCCAATCCATGTGGTACAGTCTAACAACTCCGCAATCTGAGAAAGACGGAATGGAACAACTTAGGCGGTTTAAGTAGTGCTTTTGTTTCCAGAACCGAAAGGGTAGGCTTATGTCAGGCAATTTTCTGTCATCTACAACGTTCAGAGTGTCTTCCGCGGTGGCGCCCGTTAGAAGCTTTTGCTGATCTGTGGCGGTGCATTCTTCCGAATTCCACGTTTAAGAAGGCGGCACAGCAAAGGCGGTTGGGAGCCTGTCCAGATTACACAGGCGATGTCAAAGAAGATTCCCAAAAGGAGAATCTCTCAAGGAGTTTCGCTGACAATTCTGACGGGCGGAGTTTTCTGCCTGCCAGGGGCTTTTTGCTGCTGCGTTATGAACTTCGGGCTGACGTGCGTCCACGTTGTACAGGCCAAATTGACGCAATCAAAAGGCAAAAAAGAGGCGACTATCAATCAGCACAGCGTCTTTCTCAGCACCCCCAATAACAGCCTCTTTCTCAGGATGTATACTGCCCGGATACTGGCCCAGTAGAATCGTGTAATTCCGATCGAGACTCCTTACATCCGAAGGTCAGCCGAAGGTTCGGCTGAGGGGTATCTGGCCGAGTTCTAACTGCAAGAGCCTCGTGCGTTACGCTCTGATTCTCGGTCCAAGACGTGCATCCTTAGAAGTGCACAGAAGTGTACCAAACAAAGGTCGAATCAGAATCACAGGATGGCAAAAGAACGAAGTGGGATAGAGAACTATGTGCAGAACTGCGATCACCCAGTCATTTGCCTGGAAATATCATCCGGAAAATCAAGATTAATATAAGGTTAAGCTGAAGCCTCCGCATTACAATGAGGAGAAGGGGTAAGTAAGGTCTGACCATCTGGCAAAAAGACAAGCAGGAAACATCAGCAAACGACAAGCAAACGTCACTGTGGCCGACATGGGATGAGCTGTTGGTGCACGTGCTTGCAAACTAACAGTATCCATCAATACGGCCGGCGCACTATCTTAACACTCCGCAGACAACATAGCAGAAACCCTTTCTGAAACGGTAATTTTTCCTGATTCCGTCCAATCCTTCCTTTGCCCTCTTATTCTTATTGGCAGGGGTGCATGTTATTGGAGCAAGTAAAAGGGTCGGAGCGAACTGAATTTCACCTGCTTGCTCAAAGACTGTGCGCGGATGAAGTGCGGGTGGTCCTGCGGCACTCGGGAGGAGCCCAAGTAAACTACACCCCGTCCCAAACGCTCGACCAACTCGTAACACGCCAGAATCTCGTCTCGTACCTGCGAAATATATAGACACTTTCTTGATAAGACAGCACAAATCCACTGATCAGCTGCAAAAAGTAAAGATGACCTTCTTGATTGACGAACACAAGTGGACGATCAGAGATGAAGCTGACACTTGAACCTTGCGATGTACGTAATCCAGACCTGTACATCCAGACTTTTACTGACCCGTAAAAACCCTTCGACTTACCCCACCCGTGTAAGGACGGTGTTTTATGAATGCGCTCATGGCAAGAAACCTCAATTGCTGTGTCCTCGGTGCGTCAAGAACTAGGAATTTGGACATCAGGTCCTCCTATTGCATCTCGTTCCTGATGGCTCTGGCTTTGTCTTCAGTACTAAAAATCGATTACCTTTATGCCCGGTTCACATGCCTCTTCGTGAACTTCCGAAACCAGCCAAAACTGACCAAAGAAGGTGGTGTTTTCATGAAAACCACGAGCGTGAAAACACCGTCGACTTTGCCGGTCGCAGAGCCGACCAGCGGGTGTCTGGTTATAGGCGTTCACATGGAGCGGCGAAAACCACCGGTTTTGGTCGTCGGTCGCACTCTCAATCGAAAACCGCGACCGAAAGTTGACCAAAACCACGAACACGCAGCTTTGATATCTGGTTTTCAAAATGGCGAGTATTCGCTGGTTTCGGCCAACCGGCAGAAACTGCGCTTGGTCGACCACGGTTTCGAAAACAGCGTTCACATTCGTCCCGCAGGTTTCGGACCTGCCACGTAGGACAAAACCAGCCTAACCACGCCAAATTGGACGCATGGGAACCGGGCATTAAGAGCAGTTTACACTTTGATGTGACAGCATGAAGCACCTGATTATTATGAAGCGAGCGGGGAGAAAACTACTTGGATCCGGTGTTTAGACGCTGTCCCTATCGTTCTAGCAGAGAAAGGGATAGAATACAAAATCAACAGCTCTTTGTACTCGCTGAAATATCCTCGAACCTCCTTTTGAAGATATTACTCAACAGCGTCGTCCTGCAATCAACAGGGGAAGCTCATATGCTTAAACCTAGTTATCAAGAGTAAGAATGCAACATCATCCCAGAACCTGTAACAAAAGCGTCAACGACCAGTTGATTGACAGCAAAAGTCTCCAAAGACCGTATTCTTTGTGTCTTTGGCTTGATTTCCTAGTTTCAAGGTATATCTTTAGATTGTATCTACCTAACACAAACTCAAGGTCCTGATTTCGCTGGGCAACCAAGCGCACCAAACTCACCACATCAGCGCTCTTTCTGGACTTGAACTCCGCTGGAAACGCCGGTGAAACGGATGCCGCTTCTTCCATACGACTTAACTCCTCCGGTATACCCTCCACATTGCTACTTGCACCTCTTGAGCTTTTCTTACAAAACCTTTGCCTGTATGAGCTTCCAAGTGAGGACTTCCCTTGAAGCTTTCTGCAGAAACTTTCTGACTTCAAGACCACAAGATGAATCTTTTGGCAATCTGTTTGTCTAGTCAGCATGGGTCCCCCAGCAAGTACAGCTCCTATGGAATAATGCCAGCCCATCACATTGTGGTTCCTTGCTTGGGGCACAGCATCCGACACATTTTTAGTCGCATTCAAAAGAAAGTGATTGCTTCTATGCCTCGTTAAAGACATTGGAGCCCTGATTGAAAGCAATGTCGAAGAGCAAAGATCCATTCTGACTAGCGCTCCCTGGGCTCAGAGAATCCTGTGAATGCACTCCGCTGGTTAATGTCAATGTTATGCACCCTGCTCGAAGACACAGCTCTGCGCATTATACTCGAGGCAGCCAGGACCTCCGACTACAGAGCAATATCCTACTCTGTTGTTGAAGATCCATTAAAAATCAAAGTCCACGTTTGCTAGGACTTACTCGCTTAGTACTCCGCTCCTTTTTGAACTAATGCAGATTGGGCCCAGGCGCATATGGTGATGGCTTACACTATGCTTTCTCTTGTTGAGGCCAACGCAATCAACATCAACATTTGCTCTTGATCAGCTGCAAAGGAAGGCCAACTTTTTGACCTCCTTCTGCTCTACTGTTGAATTTTGAGAAGCCCTGCCGCTGGCTCAATGCAGCTGAACGAGCTGAGAACTAGAGGCGGGAATCCGACACTATCGAGCAAGGGGGATCTCAATCAATAACAGTCTAAGCTGCATGAGACCGTTGGATGTTGAATCAAGACGAGCTTTCACCGTTCGATGATAGAGAATATTCAATGCGCGTTCGCGCGCGGCCAGAATCTGTGGGGCCAGCGTCACCGTCACCATTCAAAGCCTACTTAAGGCATTCGCCAAAGGTCCTGTACTCAGCTGCAATCTGCAGCAGACTCATGAGTTGAAGCAAGCACTCAAACGCTCAACTCTTGTTCACCGTTTTGCCCTCTGCCAACACCGCTGAACAAAAGCTTGCCTGGTTCTTGTAAAGATGTGCCAGTCTCTGGAGCGGCGCCATCCACTGCATGTGCGCAGCATTGGAGCTAGAAGCGCGTCATCCAGGGTCAGCGGGTAAGCTTGATGGAGCCGCTGCGCAGACGTCTCGCAGCATCAGTCTGCCTGTTTGCGACATCCAAAGCGAAGTCCTCTAGTCCACAAAGTCACAAAATGGACAATGCTGCCATAAGAACGTTCGCTTCTGCTGGATACTCGAATTAACGTGTCAAGTATCCACTAGTTTCAATTCGAAAAGGTGGTGCAATTGTTGTTGACTGCCAGCATGTCTAAGCCAAGAGTACTATGATGAAATTGATACACGTCCACTCGATTGTGTGGTATATCAGAGCCAGCACAGCCTTCCTGAACAAAGTTAGGATGACTTTCCTAGATTGCTCAACTAGCTTGTTTCCTCTTCCAGGTGCATTAAGGTAGCAGCTGTTGTTGCTTCAGCTTCTTACAATGTGGAGATCTACTCGTCTGATGGAAAGAGCACGGGCTTAGGTTAAGTGCAATTATCGCAAGGACTTCAAACAGGTGAGCAACTTTTCAATCGCCTTAGGAGTCTGGCAAATGATCGGCATTGGGATCATGGTACAGGAACTTGAGATCAGTACTCTTTATAGCAAGAGAATACAGTATGCTGCTGTCCCAGTAAGTGGATGCTTGAGCAGACTGCGAGTACTTTCGCTCATGGGATGCACTTGTTTTCACTAAGTTTTGAAAGTCAAGTGGAATGCGACCATAGCGATCAGGAAACCCAGCGTGCATGTTGGTGATGCAACTTTGAAGATGATCACTTTGCACATGCATTGTGTTGAACAAGCAGACAATTTGAAGGCATTTAGAACAAAGCGGCTCAGTCAGCAAAGTGGGAATGTTCAGTGTACTACCTGAGAGTGGGGCAAAGTATGTGCAGTGAACCAAGAAATTCATTGATTGCTTCCTTGGATCAGATGGTGAACAAAAGCAAGTCACGAAAAATTTCATCGCTTCTTTTGCATGTTCCTGAAATATCAGCAGGCTCCCTTTGCTTCATCAGGCAGGGAGCAAGCATCCGTGAAAAGCGATGAAACATTTCAACAGATCTGATGTCACCGAGAGTATTAAAGTGGTTGCACTTTGCGCATGTGCTTAATCTGAACCCACGCTCTCTTCTTGCAGTGTGCCGCAATGGAGGCTCAGAGCCTCCACAAGTTCTTTGGAGAACCGTCAGACGACCTTACGTCTCGAGCGGGGCAATATGTCAGGGACGCCATTTGCAACGGAAAGGAGTTTGACAACGGGAACTTCAAGCGGCGCTTCCAGAAGGACGAGCAGCGCCTTGCCAAAAGCTTTCTGATGGTCGCATCGCGCCTTCTAGCGGAACAGAAGGGGGCGGGCTTTGAGTGGTGCAACGACAAGATGGAGAACATTGACCGCTGGCTGGCCAGCATTGAAGGCAGCAGCAGAGAGGTAAGGAGAAGGTGCTTCAGATGCTGCCTGCCTTGCTGTATGGTGCCCCACGCGCTTTACGACCGCGAGCACTTTGTGACTGCACCGCTCGAGACCGCGAGTGCTTTGAGACCGCTTGCGCTTTAGACCGCTGGGGCTTAATTTGCGCCAAACAGCAAGGAGGCAGCATCTGGAGCATCTTCTTTTCGACCCTTGCTTGTTCACTTGTTCAACCTCTTGTGATATTTCTGATGATGAGGCTTGATGGCTGGTAAAAACCTTGTATTGAATCTGGCAGAATAGCTTAACAGGTCCTTCTCTGGGTTTTGTAGGTTGTCGATCTCGTGTTCTCCTTCCTTTCCAATTCTCTTGCTTTCTTTTCATTTCCAAGTTCTGTGCTTTTGCCATTTGTTCACTGTAAAACTCAAGGTCCAACATTCTTCGGTTTTACTGGCTCTCAGTCTTGGTGCTTGTCCCTGTTTGTGTTTGAATTTGCAGCCCAGCCATGATGTTGCTCAAGAATTGCATGCTTCAACGAGATTAGTTGCGAGCAGGGTCAGCGACTATAGCTCCTGACTGCAATGCCGTACCACTAACAGTCCAGCTAAAGGTGTTCATCAATTTCAGCCCTTTTCTTAAAGTCACCTGCACAACACTTTGCAGGCCCGTCGCAAGGCGTTTGTTGAGAAGCAGCCAGTAGCAAATGTCAGCATCAGCCGCGTCACAGGCGGAGCTACAACGGTTTTTGGCAGCTCGAACACTGTGGACAACAAACCTAGCGCTGCACCACAAGCACCCCCCGCGCGGAACGCTGTCCCATCTCCAGCACCGACCAGGTGAGGTTGAAATAGAAAGAAGCGAGCAGATGTCTGGGCCGCCAGAGAGTTGCGCTATTCCTTGGAGCAGACTGTTTTAGAAACCAATGTGGATGACACAAGGGTTTATAACAAGCCCTGAAAGCTTGGCTGGAGCAGTGGTGACGAACTAGGTTCCTGTGAGTACTGTTTAGTTGACCATTTGGGATCCGGCAGGCATCTCCATTGCTGTTTTGTAAACCTGTAACACGCAGCAAGCTGGCCAGCGTTGCTCTGAACATTGGTCCCTGAGGCTGCTTTCCAGTAAGGTCCGCTATAGGTCTTTTCAACGCAAGCAATCACAGGAAAGCTCTCGTTCAGTTTAGTCGCACGCTGTTTCCCGCATCCAGGGTCCTGGGAAAGGCAGCAGTTCTAATCTCCATTCCCGCAAGCACCGTTGCAGCTTCGAATGCACAGCATTGCTTCTTCAGATGCAGAGCGTATACTTTTCTCTGTTCTCTAGACACTGCCAACGAGAAGTTCTTATATCTGACTTCCTCCACAACTTTCTCCACACTTAGGTTCATTTACAAAACGTGGGGTCCGAATGATTACCCGGTGACGCTGGGTCGGTACGTTCTCGAGGGCCCGGAAGGCAACGGGAGCCGGGGCAAGATCTACGGCGACGGAGAGAACGTGCTGGGGTCCCTTCCACACGACCCGCGGACCGGCAAGATCATCCTCGAGCGCTGCGACCCGGAGGCGGTCATCCTGTTCACGTACGGAAAGGCTTGGGGTACGGGGAGAACCCTAGAGCTTTCTATGAGGAAGAGCCGGATCTCGAGCAAGAACCCGGCGGATCTGCTGTACAGCAGATACCCGTATGAACGAGACGGGGAATATTGGTAAGTGTTTGACTCTTTCTTTAAAAACACGAAGATGCTCTCCACGACCTTGACTCCTGGGAGCTCTTGTTCTGTTCTGCTTGGCGGCTGAGTGTATTGCATTCCGTTTAACATAAGTCCTTGTCAGATCTTGGCAATGAATGTTGTTATTACGAACGCCGGTCGGTTCCATCTTGTTCAAGGCTGTGGGTGAACCCCAGCAAGCCAATCATAGTGCCGTGCAGCAGGAAAGTGACAAAAAGGCAATGGTTGGGATCACTTTGGCACGAATGAACAGCCGCGAGTTGGCGCAAACTGGCGGGCCAGAGATGCAACAAATTTTCCATACGACTCTTCTCCCACGTATCCTTGAGCAGTCAACCTCTCAACAACTAGCAAATATGAAAACCTCAATCAAAAGAAGTCGAATCTTTTCATTTTGCTTTATCCCTCACCGGTGGACTACAGAGCAGTTGCTGCCACGTGGCACAGTGCGTACCCGTCAGAAGTTTTCAGACCAGTCGCTGGCTGCCACGTGTCAAGATTGCTTCGCACTTGTTTTTGCAAATCTGGCTGCAACCGACTCGTTCAATCGGCTAAATGATGGGCGAGACTGGAAAGCGGTCGGTTATAAGCATACACAACCATTGCACATAGATTTCCCTGCGCTATTTCTGCAGGCGCCATCCCATCCTGTTCCCGATGCCAAGGCAGGTCTGATCCACGCCGTGGACGCCGACAACAAGCGAGACGACGTGGATGTCATATGCCGCGCGCTTGAGGCCTACGAGGCGGAGCAGGACAGAGACGACAGGGTCGACAGAACGAATATTTTCAGCAGGGACCACTTCCGGGTCCACAGGAAGGTAGGCCCAGAAGTTAAAGTAACGGCTTAGGGGTATAAGTTTCGACTAGTTTGGGCGTCAAATGTTAGGTTGCAGTCCTCGACCGTTTTGAGAAACCGAGTCTGACACAGAAGTCTAACCTGTTGTTCCGTATTGAGATTGCGAACGCAATGTCACAGCTTTTGGGGCGGGACTGGAGAATACTTTTTCGCAGCGTCCAAGGGGCCTCCATTTCTTCTTCCTTACCCGCGTGCCCCAACTGTCTGGCGTGAGGCACAGACACCACATCGCAAACGGGCGTCCAATTCTGTTCTGATGGGGCCCCAGCGTTCTCATGTCCCACCCTTTGACACCGAGCTTTTTCCTTTGAACGTAGAAAGAAGGTCAATGGCTCGAAGTCCAAGCGTTTCTGTTCTTGATTGCTACATACCAGACTGAACGTCGGCGTTGGTCAACAGACCGATACCCCGAGCAGAGAGACCCGCTGGCCAACAGCCTGATACTATTTTGGGTCTTTGCAGGGCAGCCCCCGGCTGCCGTGTCTCCACAAAGGTTGCTTTAACCTTCGACTCTAACTCTGCAGGCACCGCGCTTCAGCTATTTCGCAACTTACATACTTGCTGCCCTTCTCGCACATCGGACAAATTTCTGACACACCAGCTTTGAACGTAGACACCTGCGACAACTAGGCTGAACCACCCCCGTTTCCTTTCTGCAGAA